ACCATGTATATTTCTTCCTGTAGTTCCCCGTACAGAAATGCTGTCTTGATGTCGAATTGTCGTAGTATTAATTTTTCCACAGCTGCTACTGCGAATATCGCCCTAATTGATTCGTATCTGACCACTGGCAAAAATGTTTCATGGTAATCTATACCATATTTCTGTGAACAACCCTTAATGACCAATCTGGCCTTAAATTTATCTATACTACCGTCAATTTTATATTTGGTTTTGAACACCCATGCATTTTGTAATGCAACTTTATCCTATGGCAAATCGACTAGAGACCAAGTCTGATTTTCGTGTAATGAATTAATTTCGTCGTTCATAGCATTATTCCATTCATTTTTGTTTGACCCAGTAATTGCCTCATCATAATTCAATGGACTGACACAGTTAGCAATAGAAGTCTGAACATTATACCTGTCCGGCTTCTTAAGTGTATTCCTGTCACGTAGAACCATAACATTTCTATCATCGACTATGTTTTCGTCCTTCTCACGCACGCCCGTTGAATTAATTTGAGTGTCTGTAAACTCTAATGTGTCTGCAATTACATTTTCATAATTATTACATTCGTCTTCGAATATAATGTCTCTGCACACGGATATTTTATTTGTTTTCGAATACCATACACGATAACCTTTCGTGCTGTTCGAATATCCAACAAATATTCCTTTTTCACTTTTTGGATCCCATTTCTGACGTTTTTGCTTTGGTATGTGTGTATATACCGCAGTACCAAAAACTCGTAAATGTTTAATATCTGGCACGACTTTATAATATAACTCGTAAGGTGGCTTACCAATCTGTGAACTCGTTCCGGTTAGATTAAGTGTATAAACCGCTGTGTTCACAGCTTCTGCCCATAATGACACGTCAAGATTTTTCGCACATATCATTGTCCTGGAAGCTTCTACGATTGTTCTGTTCCGGCGTATATACTACCGTAGTTTGGTGTCGTATGCCATATTTCTGTAGAATACCTGTAATATCCTTGTTTACAAATTCTAACCCATTATCTGTCCTTAATATTTGGACTTTAGATCCTGTTTCTGTTTTAACACTTTTTATAAATGTTTCCATAATATTTTTTACTTCATATTTATTCTTAATAAAATATACCGTTCTGTAACGTGAGTAGTCATCTCTAAATAGTAAAAAATATTTTGACATACCGATAGAGTCCCTCTGCATAGGTCCACATGAATCTGCATGTATTAAATCGCCGACGTTAAAATATTCGGTCTCACTTTTACTGAACGATTGACGGTGTTGTTTCCCGATTATGCAGTCGTTGCATACAAATTGATCGTCCTTGGCTGAATAATCAATATTATGTTTTGCCAAACAATTCCTCACGTATTGAATATTCTGGTGAGCTAAACGCTTATGCCATACTTCTAATCGTTTTTCTACTGCAATGTTCGCATAACATTCAGCTTTCAACGGTGCTTCGACTTTGATCTGTAATTCAAACAACCTACCGCATCTTGTGCCTATGCATACAGGAATCCCGTTTCTTTTGAACACACACGTTTTATTGTCTGACGTTAGTTCTAAACCTTTGTCTAACGCTGACCCGCACGAGAATAAATTAAATTTTAATCCCGGCACGTGCAATAAATTAGCCAAGTAATTTTTATTCCAATTACCGTTCACGTATGATAATATATTAATATTACCTTTTCCTGTTGCGTACAGATTTGTTCCGTCACCTATTGTTACCTGTTGTGTATATTTCAATGGTTCATAACTTGTAAACCATTCTAGGTTCGCGCTCATATGATCCGACGCGCCTGAGTCTAAAACCCACGTATCTGTTGTAGTTTCATTTATCCTTGACTCGCTTACAAATGTATTTAAATTTGTACCTGTAGTACCGGTTTTCCCACCTTTCATACTACTTAGAAAATTCTTACAGTTTCTTTTATAATGACCAATTTTACCACAGTAATAACATTTAACATTACTTTTATTAGTAAATTGTTTTTTACCTTTACCATAACTGCCGTTTTTTCCATCGGATCTGTTTTGAAGTTTGGCTGGAAATGCACTCGATTTCTCTTGTTCACCAACTTCACCTTTGATCTGGATAACCCGTGATTCTTCAATCAATAACTGACTAGTTAAATTATTTATATTTTTACTTCCCGTTGGGACTGAATCCCAAGCACTGTAGAAATTATTATATTCTTTTGGTAATGTCATTAGTATTTTTGTCATAACCATGTTATCCGTAACTGGTTCACCCGCTACTCTCAGTTTCCTTCCTAAATTGACCAATTTAGAAATATGCGTCGACATGTCATCTGTCGACTCCTTTGAATAACTGAAAAATTGTTGTTGAAGCAAATGTATACTTGCCTCAGACTTCTGCTCGTAAATACTCAGCAGTTTCTCCCACATTTCCAATGCAGTCTCACAGTTAATCAAATATTGTAATGGACCATCGTCCACTGAGGTAACTATTATTTTCTGACATTTACCTCCGCTTTTTGCCAAGCGTTTGTCTGCCTTTTCCAACGTGCTTTGGCATCCTCGTCGGTCTCTCCTGCCGACTTTTTTATAGGTAGACTTGGTTTCGTCCATTCACCTGAAACTATCTCACCTACTTCCAAGGCATTTAGAATGACCTTCATCTGGAACTTCCATAACGGCCAGTTTTCCGCACATAATTTTGTTATTTTCACCGTGTCTTCCATGACCGATGATTTCCCGTATACTTTACCTGTATAACAATTTATAACAAAACTTTACCTATGTACACTGTTCCGCCGTTTTCCGAAATCCAGGATATCTCCGACTGGTTGTAGTTTTCTGCGTTAATACAAATATAAAAATACTTCGATCACGAATCCACTAGACTTTATGTCTTGGTTATTGACTGGGCCCATAACCTGTTGAAAGTGAAGCTTGACGGACTAATGATGTTAGCATTAATATAATAAGTAATAACACGACAATATGATTATGTATAAGTATAATATATAATAACGTACAACTGGACAATTAAACTGTGACTATACACACACACCGCGTACACTCGGTATGACAGCGTCTGTGCAAGTGATTATTACATACATCAAAGGCCCTATTTATATGAACAATCGAGGCCATCCCGTATCCGTATATAATATAGAAAGCGATAGTAAAGGTGTTACACAGCTATATCGTAACTGCAAAAGTATCTATTAGAAAACGGCATTGTACACGCACGTGTGTTTACATGGTTTGAATACTAATATTAATTGTATATTTCAACATTTTTGAAAAAGTAGTAGGTAAGTGACATTACTCAAAATATTCAATTTAAGTTCAGCTGTAGATTACATTTGGTTAAAGTGACTAAAGAAATTATTGTTTATTACATTCAGATGAGGATGAGGCAATATTCTTACTAGGAGAACCTTAAATGTAAAAAAATCACAAGAGAAAAAATAAATATCAAAATTATATCATACGTCTTAATCATACCTAATTTCTGTTCTTATTGTTATTATATTTCTAATAAATTAGAAATATTTAATTAATAATCATTTGATTATTATTATTGATTATTATTTATTTTACTTAAAATACCATTAAAAACATAGGTAAGTACTGAAAACAATCTCAACATCATTGCATTATACTATAAGTGTTTTTTTTTTAGTTTTCAAATTCAAAACGTTCTTCGATTTGAAACCAGTAAGTTCTTATAGGTAATTCGGGTTTTTAAACTTAAAATATTAGCTGGGTGGTATAAATAGAAAACGTGTAAGCAGTGGGCTATGGAAGAAGGGATTTATTTAAAAAACCACTGGATGTAAGTAGACAAAATCTCCCTCAAACAACGCTGATCATTTCCAAAATACCGCAACTTAATAAGGCCAGTCTATATAAAACAAAAGAAAGAAAGACATACCGACTAACATAAAATACTATATTATATGGCAATACGAGACAAAAAATGGTAATAGTAGACGACATAGCCCCCTGCAAATACTCGAAAGCGCTATGTATGTATATTTAATTACAATCCTATAGATATATAGAGGCATAGAGCGCGTTGATAACTGGTTCAGGGGGCGTACATGACATTATGTCACGATTTTTGATACTAGTTGCCTTTAATAGTATTTGATAACATCTTATGGAATATAATATTATAATGTAGATGTTTTAAAATCGAGCTATATAAAATAAAATAATAAAAAAGTATAACAAAGTATATGGGGTTTGCCAGGCACCAGCACGATAGAGTATAGTCAAGAATACTGAGTATAATTAATGTATAATACATTACTACCTACAAGTTACAACCTTTTTTTTTTGTACTATAATGTAGTAATGTGGCTGGCGGATGGTACCAGGACTACTAGCGCTATAGTTTACTAATCCACCGCTTTGGTCCGCGTTATCTCTCTCCGATTCCTAACCTGAGTAGATAACCGTGGTCACGACTTTCGAGAGGAACTGAGTATAAAGTCCTATCGTCACCGCCGCCACTAATCTGTGACTGTTAACATGTATCCGGACACCTTCATCCACATGTAGTCGGTTCGCAGGTAAACGGATTTATTTTCAGGTAGGCAATCCAGTATCCACCAACGGTGGATTGCAGACCTCACGAGATGCGTACGTAATTATGAATGTTAATTACTCTGAGTACCTCGGTGTTTATGATGTGCGTGGACAAAAGTCGATAAACTAGCTTTAGGAATACCATTTTTACTCGTTATACACTTACGACTTTTACCAAATATATAATACAGGTCTAAATTCAGTGCTCGAATTGGAAAAAAAATTGAGGACGGACGCTGATTTTAGTTCAAAAAACACCGTTCCATAGCTGATAAATATTTGTAAAATGTAAAGTAACACGTTGTGGACTTCATCCCCCACGCCCCCTGCACATATAATAAGGCACTACAAAGGTAGATTATATAGTATTTATTTGCTTATTACAATAAAATCATTTTATAAAGAAATAATAATATTAATTACGGAAATAAATATTATTCTTTAATTAAATTCCACAATGATTTGTATGAATCATTTTCTTCAGTCCTTTTCATCCTTTTAGGACAATTTTGTTCCTCTGCTGTTCGTTTGCCCTTCTTAACCCACGATTCCATCCATTTTGTTGTGTTAATCTTATCAATTGGTGGACCAACACAATTTATAAATACTAACGATGAAATGTGTACTGAACCCAAATAATTTCTTTTAGGGGATACAATTTCGTTCATTGAGCTGAATGAACGCTCACATTCTGAAGATGAAATCGCTATACACTTAATTGCAGTAGTTAGTAGTTTAAGATCTTCAACATTGTCTTCTTTTGTGTCTTTAAATTGACGGAAGCCTCTTACTGAAGTGATCTCATCAACTTTAAATTTTTTAGACAATCGGCGTATACAATCATCACCATATTGTATATTGAAGTTGTCAGGCCAATTTTTAGGAGCAAAAATATCTAAATCCGACAATAATTGGTCATACTCTTCTTGAAATTTAGAAGGAACATTATTAGAAGAATTTGACGATTGTGTAGTGAATAATCTTGATTTTAGATTGTTTGAAAGACTTCTAAAAAATTGAGACGAATTAATTCTTTGAACATTTTTGTGAGATGTAAGTTTTACTCCTTTAAAACTCATTTCCTGAGACGCTAAATTTACTTCTTTAAGTTTTGGTCCCTGTGTTTCAACCATACTATCAATAACACGAATTGTTCTTTCTATTATAGTATGCGCTGAAGCCAAACCCAAATCTCGGTTTTGTAGTTGCAATGATAAATCAGACAACTCGTGTAAAGCATTAAGTAATATTCCTAGATTCAGTATAAACTCATTGGACGTTAACATTTTATTTAAACCTGAATACTTTGATCTTTCTTTTGTGTCTCTTGTATTATCCAAAGAAGCTTCTAGGAAATGTTTATGTAGGACAGCAAAATTATTCCATACAGCGCGAACTGTTCTATAACTGGATGATACCCAACGAATGGTAAATATTTTTCCTATCTTTAAAATCTCCTCTGTTCTAATGATTCCGCACATTCATTAAGTTCTCTCATATTCTTCGGATACAGAGAATATAATTTTTCAAAAAAACATTGGAAATGATTGACACCATGTACTTCTTTAAGTGTGTCGCTTACTGCAAGTTCTAATCGATGATTGCAACAATGCCATACAATAAGGTCAGGAAAATGTTTTAGAAGTAAAGCACCAACTCCAGCTTTCCTACCCAACATAGTAGATGCTCCATCGCTAACAAAGCCCACCAAATTCTTTTTCAGAAACTCCAAATCAATATTGTATTTAGATAAGTTGCAAAGTATAGCGTTTTTAATCGATTCAGCCGTTGTACAATTCAGTTCAACTATATAAAAAAAAAAAGTACTGACTTCAAGAGGATCTCCAATAGCACACCTTAAACATATTACCAACATTGTTTTTTTGCTTAATGTTGTTGATTCGTCGACTATAATACATAATTTCCTATTATTTTCAATGATATCTTTACAAATTTTAATCCTCATTCAATTTGCAATATGATCAATTATAGAGGCACAGGATTTATCAGTTTGCAAAACTCTACCCATTGAAATACCATTTAAAACTTGTAGGTCAACCAATTTTGGCATGTCGACATATGGACGCTGATTTTTAGCAATAAAGTAAGCAGTGCGAATATTTTTTTCTGTAGTTTCAAATTGCAATTTTGTAGTTTTTAAAACTTGCAATTCAAAAGTTTCTTGCTTACTACGTGCAATTATGCTTTCGGCAGTAATATGGGGCTGACTACTTTTATGTTTCGAAATTTTCTTCCTTATACTAGTTTGTTGTTTGGCAATGGTATCCCCAGATGGAGCAATATTACATTGAGTCCATTCCGATGATAAATGAACATGAGACTCTGGTTTCTTTTCAATATTTAAATTCACTTTTACACATAATTTACAACCCAATTTTTTATTTTTTAAATATATCCAAGGATATTCTTCACAAAAATATTTTATTTGTTTTATATCCCAGCATTCAGGAGATTCACTGTCACTAATACAGTTAGTTGGCTGATGAATAATACCAGTAGTAGTAGGAGTAGTACTAGTTTTGAGGACATTATCTTGTATATCTATATTTGTAAAGAAAAAATTTAAAAAAAAAATTATTCCATGTGTAACCTATTTTATTCCTCCATTTTGCTCGACAATATGTTTAATAAAAATCATATTATTAAGTTCTATTTAATTAAAAGCAAAGAAACATTGAATAACCAAGAATATATTTACAATGATTTTATATTAGAAAAATTGAATTTGCACTTGTTTTAGGATCATTAGGATTTAAGTTAGATTCATACTTGCCATAATTTATGTTCAAAAGTTATTTTATTTTAAATAGCTAATTTTAAATGCAACATACAAAAATATTATATTTCTTTAAGGGAATTAAATACTTACATTAAATTAACTAAAATCAATAAAACATTTTATTTCATTATTAAATTAATAAAAAACTTGATCATTATAGATATATTCAACAAGTAACTTGTTAACAAAACACACATTTAATAGGTACTTAAACAAGGTATTAAACACAAATTAGTTAGTAATAACATTATTACATTAAACACAAACATTCACCTTTACACATATATATACATTACTATATTAGGTTTTATATTTATGTAAAGATTAAGTAAAAAAAAAAAACATTATAATTTAGACACAGTTATCAGCTATGCAACATCATTGTCAAAAATACAAGTTAAATGTACAATAATTACCAATTAACAATTATAAATTTAGAAACATAATCTACACATATAGTTAATAATAAAGAAGTGTAACAACAACAATAACAAAACAACCCTATTTGTATAAGTTAAACACAAAATATTTAACTATCACATTAAACACATAATATTAGAACATATTAGTCATTAGGCGCACATCTAATATCAAAATGAAATATAAATTAAATGTTATTATATTAATAACTTATAACTATAAAGTACATACCAATCTAATATTAATATATTTAAAAAAACTAAATACCTTAATTTAAACTAATTTCTTCCAAATCAGCTGAGGCCTTTTCTTTTCCTAGAAAAAAAATTAATATACATTTACTTATTTGTTTGATATGTAATATTATAAATTACAACAGAATAAAAACATGATCATATTTATGATAATTTATAAATAATGACAAAAAATGGTCTTTTAACATGGAAATAATTTATGAGACAGAATACATTAATTTGTAAATACTTAGGTACTAATGTCCTATAGTATTACCTTCTTGAGATGCAGCCAAAGGAAGAGTCTTGGCAATTCAAATCATCTAATATTTAAAAAAAAAAATGTTTATGAGGTGAGACATTTATAAACAATAGACAATAGTTTATTGAAATGTATTTAGCCAGTGGGTTATTTACTTACCTGTAGTTGTACTCCCAACAATCATACTATCACTAATGTTTTGTTTTTTTTAAAGAAATCATATAATGTTTTTCTTTTTTCACTCATTGTGTTAAATTTTTAATGACTCGAAAATTAAACAAAAGGTCAAATAAAATTAATAAATATTGTAAATAAATTACAACCGAAATCACTTCAAAATGATCACACTTGCGATGAGAATGTAGATAATTTGTTAATAGATAAGGTAGACATGATATCTTTAATCGTGGTACGTGGTAGTGAACAAAACCACAAAAACCACAAAAACAATAACCACCGAAGCTGATATCAGCTCGATAGCAATCGTTATAATCACGGTTTAAGATATATAAGTATATCGTAAACCGTGGTTATAATATTATATCCATGGCTAAATATATAGCTATTTACCATACATACAAAATATAATATAGTTATTTAGCCATGATTATTATCTCAGTCCGCGATTGTCGTCAACGATAACCGTTTTCTGGGAAAAAATTAAAAAATAAAAATAACCGTTACATTGCAGTTTGCTATAGAAAGGAAGAAATAAACGAAAACAAAATCCAAATACACCATTCAAAAGTAAACATCCCCAGGGGGGACTCGTTTTTAGCGTTCCTCGCTTAATTAAATGAAGGGGGACGCTGAAATCTATGAAAAAATGAAAGCGGACTCCGTCTGCCCGCGTCCCCCCCCCCAATTCGAGCACTGGGTCTAATATAAATTATATTCAATCATAAGAACTATTTAATTTTTATCAACCACCGAAAACCTTATAATAAACAAAAAAATATAATTTTTATCCCGGCGGATGGCACTGTTGTATTTTGGCCATCCAGATTTTCTATAGGGTGTCCCATTAAGTGAGCAACTTTTAAATAATTAATAACACAGTTATGTATCAATCGAAATGTATTTATTTTTATATATTTACATTCAATAACATCTCCGATTTAATGGTGGAAAATAATATCTGGCATATGACCACCTCCACTAAGTCAGCATGTGTTGACGAGCTCGATGAAATTGATAATAACCCGCTCACAGATGTCTGGTGTGACGTCGGCAATGACGCGTAAGATTTCCGCTTTCAATTGTTGAATTTTACGCGATTTGTTAGCGTACACTTTAGATTTGACATAACCCCACAAAAAGAAATCACAGGGGGTAACCTAACCTAACCTGGCAGGCCACTCCTGGTCACCTCGCAGTGAAATCAGTCTTCTCGGGAATTTTATTTTGACAATCTCAATTGTTTCACGTGAGTTGTGGCATGTTGCACCGTCCTGTTGAAACCACAAGTTTCGCATATCAATATTTTGAAAAAAAAAGCCATAAGAAGTTGGTTAACATGTGACGATAACGTTCTCCATTTATTGTAACCGTAACACCTTCGTCGTCCTCAAAGAAAAACGGGACTATCACTCCACCGGCCCAAAAACCACACCACACAGTCGTTCTTTCAGGGTGCATTTGATGTTCGTGGGTTACTCGTGGATTTTTATTCCCCCAAATTCTGCAGTTCTGTTTGTTAGCAAATCCACTGAGGTGGAAGTGTGCCTTGTCACTGAAAATTATGTTTTTCGAGGAATTTTCGTCTACGGCCAGTCTCTTCAATCCATTCGCAAAATCGTCTTCTTTTTTGATGGTCCGCCGGCTTGAGCTACTGCACATTAGATTTTGTATGCATGCATATGGAGGTCTGTACTTAACATTCTTCGCAATGAACTGCGTGGAATACTCAGCTGTTGTGACCGTCAGTGAATTGATTTCCCTGGACTCACTGTTACACTTTGTTGCACAACAGCGATTTGTTGTGCATTGCGTTGAGTGCGATTTCGCCCAGGTGACTTCACACTAGCAACAGAACAAGTTGTTTCAAACTTTTTTATCAGTCGCAAAACTGTAGACTTGTTGGGTGCTTAATTTCTTCCGAAAATAATAATAAGTTGCCTTACCGTCTCAGCCCCACTTTCATGATTTTGATAATACGTTTTAACGATCTGAACAGGTTGTGTATTTGTAAACCGCTCCATGACGACTGATCCAATATAAAAAACAAAAGCCGATAATTAAATCGGAGTAATAATAGATACTAGAAATGAGAAGAACAGGGCTGCCGACAAAATATTTAAAAAATGACAGCCGATTTAAAAGTTGCGCACTTTATGGGACACCCTTGACGCGGCTACGGCGTTGATAGAATGGTATCCGCGGTGAGCCGGTCGTAGAATGCTGGTGGTTGGGTAGTGTGGACGTAGGTAACACCCACACAGTCACACGAGTAATAATTGAAACACACTTGTTTTGGTGGCAATTAAAGTCCGCGGGGGACGTTTATTCGTTATACAAAAAACAATATTATATATTTACAATGAAATGTAGGGATATAACTAATATACATGTATCGTATCGATCCGGGATGGTATTTTTTTTACGAAATGACGTGACGACGCGTGATCGTTTTTCGACGGTCGGCGGACGAGAGAGCGAGTCGCCGGCGGCCTTCCCGTCCAGCCTTGCCTTTGTGGCGTGGTGTGAGAGTTGGCGATGTCGCGCTCGTAGACCGGTCGCTGCGGTACCTGTACTTTGTACTGGTTG